GATATGCCGTCTTGCCACCATAGACTACACGCTTTTCAGCTACTTCCGCATACTGGCCCTATCCGGAACATCCCCAGGTCCGATATCCCTCCCTATTCCATATAGAAACAGCGAAAAAACAAAGACGCCCTGAACCTCAGTTGTGTTCATAGCATTATAAGGTTTTTAGAGTCATTTTTGTGATTAAACTCTGAGCACCTACGGCAGTAAACCTGTTAAGTCCGAGCCTCGGGTTGGTTCACGGTCCCCTATTTTATATGTGTCTATGCGGTCTGTGCACGGTGCACGCCGTAATGTTACACGTCCAGGTAGCTCAGCCATTGTACAGAGAGGCCCATCACAGTTGGAGCCAACGTTCAGCGACGGGGAGGAGGGGGTGGGGGTGAGGCTGTTTTATGTGCTTCCTGGGATGAGCGAGTTTGAAGCGTCGCAGTCGATGGGCGTATCGGCTGGTGCTTCGTCGCAGTCGTCAGTTTCATGGCACTATGGCCATCCTTATTCTCAAACTGATATTCCGCTACCTTGTCCACCGAACGCTGATTCTCAGTCACACACGCATTCACATTCACATTCATGCAGTACATACAATCTAGGAAGGTACATTCCCTCGTTCGACGATGACCCGAAAGCGAGGTTCATCGACGAACTTGGGTACACGACAGAGGCAGAGGGTATCAAGTCGCCTGCGCGTAAGCGGCAGAAGACGGGGGGTGAGAAGGGAAAGCGAGAGGAGGAGGGGAGCGGGGAGAGGGAGGGCAAGACGCATGGGCACGTACCGGGGGAGCTGGGAAAAGTGTGCGCAGACGAGTTTTGGGAGCGCATGTCGTTTCGGCAGGAGTGCGTGGCGGGTGCCATGACCGGGTTCTTCACGATGGCGGTCACGTCGCCGCTGTCGAGGCAGGGCGGGGAGGGCTCGGGAGGTGCTGCAGAGCAGAGGGGACAGGTACCGGGGCAGATGAACAAGCGGGTGCTGGCGTCGCTGATGACGGGGCACGAGTTTTCGAGTGTGGAGCGGGCTCGGTGGTCTACGGGGAAGCTGGAGGAGACGATTCGGGGGTTGTGTGAGGGGCTTGGGCCTGTGACGCCGCCTGGAGGGGTGAGGGAAGGGTGTGTGGGTGAGGGAGTTGGGTCGCTGGAGAAGTACAATTCGGATATCTACGGGAGTGTGGTTGTGTGTAATGCGGGTGGTGCTCGCGGGGTGTGTGGCAGAGTTGGGGTGACTGTGTTGACTGCGAGGAAGAAGAAGAGGAGGGGTGGTGGTGAGGAGGTGATGAGGTAGGGTGAGGAGGTGAGGGTGAGGAGGTGATGAGGTAGGGTGAGGAGGTGAGGAGGTGATGAGGTAGGGTGAGGAGGTGTGGTGAGGATATCAGGCGAGGATATCATAGAAAGTGAGGATATCAGGTGAGGAGGTGTGGTGAGGATATCAGGCGAGGTTATCATAGAAAGTGAGGAGATGGTTACGGACACGCTGTCTGTAGGAGATTACCGAGTGGGAAGGCTAATGTTAATGAGATGCACGAGACTGGCTATGTCTACACAGCAAATGCACATATGTAAACGTTTCAGCCGCCTACTTATCTTTTCTCTCTCTCGGCTCCGTATCATCCTTCCTCTCTCCTCCCATCATGTCTGCACATATACCACAGTCCCTACCATCCTTTGCACAGGCCTTCTCAAACTCAAACCTCTCCTCCTTCTCCTCAACAAGCAACGCCCTCCCCCCCATACACCCTCGCAACACACACTCCCCCTCAGACCCCATCGCCTCCCGCCAGCCCAGCGTAGAGAACCCATCACGAACCAGAAAGCGCTCTCGCGAAGACGGCGATCCTGAGTATGTCTCTTTTCTTTTTTTTCTTGGCTTTTTTCTCACCGCCCTCCACGACACAGCCGCCAGTCTCCTCGCGTCGTCCGCATCAAACAGGAAGACGATCATGAGCCCTCACCCCCCCCGCCCACAACACACAACACCCCCCCTCCCTCCAACCCCCTCTCAAAAAGACGTCGCGTCACAGTGAGCGGCCCTCCCCACCCCCTCAACACAAACGTCAGATCTCCCTCCTCAGAACACACCTCCTCCACACCCATCTCCCCCGTCGTCATGGGCTTCACCATCGGCGACGACCCCGCAGCCATCGAGCAGGTCCGCAATATGCTTTCCGTGAAGCAGAAGCAAAAGGCCCTTATTGAGCAGAGGAGGGGCAGTACCGCTGGCATCGTCAGTGTGGGCCCCGGGGCTGGCTATGGTGCGACCCCAGTCGTCCCTTCCGCGACCGCTGCACCCCATGTTCTCACACCCGTCCCTCGAATGGGCAGGCGAAGCCCCAACACCGCTGGTCACCTGGCTCGTCGTGCTACTGTGTCTAACAACGCAAGACCGCCCAGTCCAAGTCCCATCATCGTCCCCAGCCAACAACCCATATCCACCACCACCACCCTCCCCGTCGTCCCCAGCCAGCAGCCCATATCCACCGCCACCACTTCCACCAGCACCGCAAGCGCACCCAACTCCCTCCCCCCGCCTCCCATCAGCTTCGCCCGCCGTCGCGCCTCCCAGCTCGGCGGTCCCAAGAAAAAACCTGCCGACATCCTGATCAGCCCACGCGCACACCACCCCTCTTCCTCCTCCGACAGCCTCGCACCCGTCATCCAAAGCGCGCCCCCCGTCGCCTCCTCCAACCACGGCCACGCGCTCGGGCACGGGGAGGCGGGGGGGAAGATGATGTTTCAGATGGCGATCCCGCGGTTGCCGGTCGCGATGGGGGGACAGGGGAATGTGAGGAGGGTGGTGGGGAAGGTGCCGCCGACGCCGACGAGGATGGGCATGCAGAGGAGTGGTGCGACGACAGCGGGTGCGGGGAATGCGACGACGGGGGCAGGGGGACCGAGCGTACGATCCCCACCTGCCGCCTCCATCCCCATCTCGAGCGCCCTCGTCCCTCCCACCCCCAGCTCCCTCCACCACCCCGGCTACACAGGCGACAAATCCGCCTTTTTAGCGCCCTTTGAAGTCTTCTACGACGCCCTGAACGATTCTAAGCAGCTCAAGAACTGGTTGAGCGAGCAGTTGCAGAAATCGGCGCTGTTGGCACAGTCGTTGAAGGCGCAGCAGGAGAGGATGGAGGAGGTGGTGCAGGGGTTGGTGGAGGGGCGGGTGAGGGGGGTTAGGGAGGAGGTGGAGAGGCTTGGGAGGAGGGTGGAGGTGTTGGAGGAGGCGTTGAGGAGGGAGAGGGGGGAGGGGAATGGGCAGACGGCGACGACGGCGCAGGTGGGCAAACATGCGCAGAACGGCGTCCCGCCGACCCCAGAACCTTCCACCTCATACACCTTTCCGTCCGTCGAGTCTCTCCGCAGACCCGATTTTGTACGGCGCGTATCGTCACCGGGGTGGGGAGCGGGTGAGAGGGAGCGGGAGAGGGAGCGCGATTATTCGCAGCAGCAGCAGAGTGAAGGGGGTGGAGGGAGCAACGGTTCCCCACCCGTCCATTTCGATACGAGTAGACGACTGTCTGTCTCAGCTGCACGCTTGGACCCTCCTGCACATTCTTCCTCTTCCGCCTCTTCGCGTTCGCATCCGCTTCAACAGCATCATCAGCCATTATCGCAACAGGGACAACAGCAACTACAGCCACAGCAAAACGTCGAAACCGGGAGACCCAGCGTGTCCCCGCGCATGGCTGCTCACAGTCATACCCACACTCATACACATGCGCACTCGCACGGGAAGGCGGGCGGTTCGGGGAAAGGGCAGGAACATCGATCGGTGCAGAGGGTTTTCTACCCTGCTTCGAGCGTCGATACTAGTGCCAGTGCGAGTACTGGCGGAGGTGGAGGAGGGGCGGAAGGCGGGCAGAAAAAAGGAGCTGGAGTGGTTGCAGCCTCGAATTCGAGTTCGAGTATGAATGTGCATGAAGACCGCCCGCGTCGTTCGCCTGCTGATGGGTGATGGGTGATGATCTGAGTCGATGGAGTTGTGTGCTGTGTGGGGGAGAGTGGAGGAGTTGGGTTCGTTGAATTGTTTGTTTGTTTTTTTATCTTATTTCGTTTTTCGTCTTTTCGTCTTTTTGTCTTTTTCTGTTTGCTGCTTTGCTTTGACACCTCATGGGACAATTTATCTCTCCCTCTCTCTCGACTGTTCACGAAATCACGATGATCTGCCTCACTTCCTCGGACTTGTACTATTTTCCTTTGAGCCTTTGAGCCTTTCCAGCTTTCTTTTCCCTCTATCTTTTTTATTTTTTTCCTAGAATCGGGTGTCAAATCTGTCGTATCTTTCCCTTTTTTCGTTCTTTCGTCTTTCCCTCGGACACTTGACTTGAAAACAATCCTCGCGATTGCGCTTTTTTTTTTTTTTTTTTTCGTTCTCTTTCGAATTCCTTTTTTTTACGTTGTCGAAAGACGGTCGAATGTACATGTCGAATGTCAAAAAAAGCTCTCCTACCGTCGTCACTCGCACTCCCTCGAGCTCTTTTTCTCTTGCTTTTTTTTTTCTTTTGATTTTTTTTACTTTTCTTTCTTTCTTGCGTCTATCTGTACTTGTACACTGTACGCTAAAGTGCGAAACACATACATACACATATATCCCACCCCATCTTGGCAATGTCATCAAAAACGTTTTGAAAATTGAAATTGGACAGTTGAAATTTTGAAGGGTTGAAAAGCTTGAAACTTGAAACGACATGAGTGATTTTGATTTTGATTTTGATCGAGACGTTGTTCTTGACGTTGATTTTTGATTTTGAGTTGATTTTGACTTGGGTGTTGGATGGAGTTGAGGGTTTGGGGAGAGGGTGAAGGCGGTTGATCTGATGAGCTGCTATGAGGGATTTGGCTGTGCGTTGTTTGAGTTTGACCTTTTGACTGGTTGACTGTTTGGGTGTTTGGCTGGTAGTGCCCTGAGATGCTGAGAAGACTATAGTGTTGTATTATAAATGCACGTTAGTCACCCTCGCTTCTCATCGCTGGCAATAACTAACTAATCCTGACCGAGGGACACTGACAAAGACTCGGGAAAGGTGACGAAGAAAAGCGAACGCCGTGGCAAGAGAGGGACATATGGTTTTCCCCAGAATCAGAATACCAACTGGTACTTGGAATTGAGGAGGGTATATCAGATATATAAAAGGCCCAGTTCGTCTTCGCTCCGATGCACTTAACATTCAACGCCCTCTCCCGTCTCAGCGCCCTCTCCCGATCGTTCGCGCCTCGCCATATTCACTCAGCCGTGACGCCAATTGCAACCGTAAATCTGAATACTGCTGCCATGTCGACGAAACCGTTCTTGCTGTACACGGCTCCGACGCCGAATGGGCTCAAGGTGTCGGTGTTGCTGGAGGAGCTGAGGGCTGTATATGGGTCTGCTGTGGATTACGAGTTGAGTGCCCGTTTGATACCTAACCGTGACCCCCATCCCAACCACCCCCTCCCCCCTCTCAGCGTCCACAAAATCGACTTCTCCAAAAACACCCAAAAAGAGCCGTGGTTCATCAAGCTCAACCCCAACGGGCGCATCCCCGTCCTCGTCGACCGCTCTCGAAACGACTTTGCCGTGTTTGAGACGGCGGCGATTTTGTTGTACCTCGAGAGGCACTATGATACGGAGAAGAGGTTTGTGTTTGATGAGGAGGGGAGGCCGGATGAGTTTAGTGAGATGTTGCAGTGGATGTTCTTTGCTGTGAGTGCATGTGTGCGTGTTTGTGAGCTTTGAGCTGAAGGGGGGTGTAGCATGGAGGTGTGGGTCCTATGCAGGGTCAAGGTAAGTTGTCATCATGACGTTCTCCCCGTCGTATTGCTAACGGCGCCATGATGAATAGCCGGCCACTTCAACAGGTTCGCGCCTGAGAGCATCCCGTACGCCAAGAAACGTGAGCAATCTACCCCACCCTGATCGTTGTCACGCGCCTGACTCCCCCATTTTGGATATCAGGGTATATCGACGAGACGAAGCGCCTCTACGGCGTGATGGAAAAACGTCTCGCCAATCGCGACTACCTCGCCGGTCCCGCAAGGGGCACCTACAGTATCGCCGATATCAACGTCTTCCCCTGGTACGTTGTCACCCTTTTTTCTTCTACAAAATAAAAACGAAACGAGCTTTGCGTCGCCTCGTTGCTTCATCTCCCTATTTTCGTTTCAAGGGTCCGTCGGTACGAGTTTGCGGGTATCGATTCTGTGGACGAGTTTCCGAACCTCAAGGTGGGTGTGTTTTTGAGTTTTTGAGTTTGTTCTTTTTTGAATCATGCGTGTTGGCCCTGAGTTGCGTGTGTTGACAACGTTGACGTTTTGATGTAGGCGTGGATCGAACGCATCGGGAGTCGTGAAACTGTCAAGGCTGGTTTGGCCATTCCAGCCTAATTTCATTCGATGGACGAGTATCAAACAGTGTGTGCCTTCTTTGACGTGTCTCTACCCATGTGTATTATATTTCCGACAGGTTGGAATTCATTATGATTATGATTCGTTATTAGCTATGGTGTGTGTGTGTGTACCATCGTACGACTTGTAAAAGTTGATTGTTGCGTAAGGCATCGCTTGCCAGCCCCTATTCCGAGGGATTGTTGATACACCGATCGTGTCCCGCTTCCAATGAGGTCAGTGCTTGGCCTCGATCTCAATCCCTACCGCCCCTATTCACCTCGGTTAAATATGCGATATCTCGACGAGACATGATCTAACGTTGTGTTCCCTCGACGCCCATTTCTTGAAACATTTTCCCTATTTCTCCCGTCGCAGTATCAGCAAACGTCATTATAATTCATGATGTCGACGCAGACTGCTCTGAAAGATGCTATAGTCAAGGATCATCGAGAGGTAAGTAAATCTAGATCCTCCCATACCCCCTCCTCCAGTCGAATCTCTCTAGTGAAAACTCAGCATTAACCGATCGTCGTCGTCTGTCGCAGATCTTCCTTTACTATGACCAGTACCAAAAAGCAGATGGAGACACCGAGGCTCAGGCTCGTTGGGCTCGACAGCTCACATGGGAGGTGGCGAGGCACTCCGTTGGCGAGGAGATCGTCGTGTACCCCCTATTGGAAAAACACCTTGGCCAACGAGGCGTGCAGCTTGCCGACCACGATCGTGCTGATCATCAGGTTCGTCGGAATCACAACGTGTTTGTGGAGGCACGGCTAATGAACGATGCCATCCCTTCCTTTTATTTTATTTTCTTCGGTTGATTTGTGCAGACGGTGAAAGAATATTTGTCCCACTTGGAATCGTTAAAGCCAGGAACGGCCGAGTACGACCAGACTCTCCGAACGGTGATGACCAACCTTCGAGAACATATTGAGAGCGAGGAAAAGACGGATTTGCCGTTATTGGAGGAGAAGTTGACTCAGGGGGATAGCCAGCATGCTGCGAATCAGTTCGCGAGGACGAAGAAGTTTGTTCCTACTCGGTGGGTGTTCTCTATCCTTTGATCGGGATATATTGGCTGATGGGTGTTTTCTGCGTTGCGGTGATGTTAGTGCTCATCCGATGGCTCCTAGCAAGCCGCCGTTTGAGACTTTGGTGGGGTTTATGACGGCGCCGCTTGATAAACTGAAGGATCATTTGGCAAGCTTTCCGACTGACGAGATGAAGAGGGACGCGGGGATCTGAGTTCGAAAGGATGGAGGGGATGTGATGAAGGACGCGGCGCAAAACATGGGTGGTATGATGACTCGAGAATTTCCCATCACTGCAACTGTGATATCATAGAAAATAGAACGAAAGGCATTCAAAATCAGTATAGAAATCTGAAACGCTCCATTAATATAAACTGAAACAGTGCCAGTCACCGACCTGCAATCGAAGAAGAAAAAGATTGACTTGAGACTATTCCTGGCGAACAGCACGAGCCCTGAACACCATTGCCATCAGAACAACACAGTGCTCCATTGAATCCATCGGAGCCTGTTGAGCCAGGCAGTGGGCGTATGGTGATTGATCTGACGCGATGTTCTCATTTGACATCTTTTATTACATATGACAAAGGCAGCCGCGGTTATCCAATAAACATCGGGACGCAAAACGCCAAGTTGCTGGGTTCCCTTTGGTATGAAACGCGTGTGGGAGCGAGGAAAAGGGCGGATTACCGTACGTGGCGAGATAAAATGGTGCTCGTACGCTTTATCATCTTTGCATATCATCTTTATACTCCAGGGTGTGTGTGGTGTCGTATCCACTGGTGGTGCCATTAGAATCAGCGAACCGTCGATCACTTACCACCACAGGGCCCAGCCCAAGACTACTGTAACCACTGACCAGACACGCGATTGGGTATATCTTTATGGCCGTGACGAGTTCTGAAATATAGCGTCAGTGATGATGCTGTCTGTGAGCTCAAGTTGGCTGCCAGCGCTAAAAATGCAAACCCCGCCCGCCATGTTCAAAAATGCAGGGGGTCAGTCCCTAGTAAATGGCGCGGAAATCACCGAGGTTCTGTTCTTCGCTTGTGGCAAGTCTGCACCGATAGGTATGACCGTGACCTCGAGCCTCGTTCTTTAACTTGGGAAGCAGCGCAAATGAACCTTTGGAGAAAATCACAACTCGTGCGATACCTCGGGGGTTTCTCTGGAATTGAGAAGAAGGGCGGAAAAACTTGGGAACCATGACGTTGTATCCTCTGAACTTAATACGAGGTCATAATAACTGTTGGGTCCCTGCTTCTGGTAAATATAACGAGCCTATCTGCACAATCCTCACTCAGCTGTCGTGACTTTTACTCCCTTTTCCTTCACAGTACTTATCTTTGCAGCTTTTCGTCCAGACTTCTTCCTTCCACTGAAATCCGACGAAATGACCTTAGGCTGTGCACCGTTCTCTGGCGGACTTGCAGACGACGAGTTATCAAACTCAGCGCTGTTATATCCGACTCCGGTATGTCATTCGCGCTCTCTGAGACTCTTATAATCGATCATCTTGGCTAACTATTTTTGTTGAACATTGAAGACACCAAGTCCAACTGACTTGGCAGCTGACAGTGACGCCGTAGCCTCTGTCTCAACGACGTTCTTCCTTGGTTCATCGATCGACCCGCTTGAATCAGACCTTATAGTGTCCTCGTCAGACGCTGTCCTTTTCTACCTGCACACTCACGTCATCTTGAGCGCATCGGACAATGCCTTCGACTTTTTGCTATCCGCACCCCCGAAGAGCCCATCTTCAGATATGTTGCAAAATATCATACACGTCCCAGAACCCTCAGCTGTACTGAACGTCGTCCTTCACGCCATCTACAACATATCGTGCGCCCACCACGCACCGTCATTTCATACCCTAGAGGCTGCAGTCCCCTCTCTCAGAAAATATGGCATGTCCCTCGAGCGCTACATGTCGCCTTCGACTCCTCTCTACTCCCTCTTACTCTCTCACGCGCCTCTCTACCCGCTCGAGCTGTACACACTCGCCGCCTCTTACGATCAACACGATCTCGCCGCGTCCACGTCTGCGCATCTCCTCTCGACGCCTCTGGACTCGCTGACAGATGATGTGGCACGGCGTATTGGCGCACGGTACCTAAAACGCCTCTTTTTCCTGCACATCCACCGCGTTTCTTCCCTCAAACACCTCCTTCTCCCGCCTCCCCGTCCCCATCCGCCAACGTCCACGTGCGACTTGGAAGATCAAAAGCCCATCTCCCGAGCTTGGACACTCGCTGCCGCATACCTCGTATGGGATGCCAGACCTGGTATGCATATTTTTATTTTTATTTTTATTTTATCGTTTCGGGTGTGAATTTATTGGTTTTGGATTTATTGGGTACCGAGTAGATACGTCGACGGGTGTTATCAAGGTTGCGTTTGATTCGTTGAAGGGGAATGTGTGTGGTCTGTGTCGGGTCGCTTTGGAAGAGAGGATTCAGAGTGTGGTTGTTCAGTGGGCGCTCGTCCAAGTACGAGTATTTTTACTGTCCCGCTTTTCCCTTTATGACCTGACCTGTCTTTCTCAGCGGACGATACTATGATATGAACGGCACGACGAACGCTGTGGCCGTTGTCAAGTTGTAGGCCTGAAATTAGCTGCCTTGTGGAATAAAGGCGGATACGAAAAAGCAAAAACGGAAGCTAGTCGCGATATCCAAGAATCTCATCAATGTTGTATATCCCTTTTTCAGTGTATCAATGTAGAATAAATACCCCAGCCACTCGCATTCCCTGTATTGTAAAATGTTTCATGATCATGATATTTCAGATAGATTCCAGCTCATTATCGTGTGACCCCCTATATTTCCTGTCATTCTATAGGACCTTCGAAAACACCATTCTGGAAATAATCATTTGTAAAGTGAACGGGATAATCGGAACACAGTGAACGACCGTCGTTCTCTTCCTCCTAAATGGTATGTTTAGGGGGAAGTAGGAACACAGATAGGAGATCCTTATGTTGTTAACTCGGGCACAGGCGGGTGAGGTATTGGTATTACAGCATCGAGGGCTGTCATAGACGTTGGAATGGCTGGCGGTGTCTTCATATGGATATCAAGTTATTTGAATTGTCTGGTGAATGCACCATTGATAACAACCTTTCTGTATCACGAACCACGTACTCAGGCGTTCGAACAAGTGCTCCCTACGCTGTTGTGGATGGGTCATATGTCTTTCCAGGTGTAAGTAACTTGGAATGAGGTCACGTGATGTCCGAGCTCAGCGGCACTGAAGCGGCGAGTGTCTTCTGCGGCCGTTTTACTGGTTATTTTTCAACAGTCCAGTTCATGAGCTTGCACTGGGGTATAGCCATGCTTAAACCACGGTTGCCACTAAATCTTACTGCCATTCGATCGTATGCTACACGGATAGCAGAAAAGCCTCCTGCACGCTTCCCAGATCCTCTCGCCAATGCCACGAATGCCACGGTGAAAGTCTTGCCAGAAGACAATCTGACATTCTACCACCGTCCTCCTCCTTCAGCACCTACACCGTTTTCTACCACCTTGGAACCTGCTTCGCCGCTTTTGAAACGTGCCTCTAGAACAAAACGTGTCCCAATGCCACCTCTCTTGCGGCCTTCTGCCTACAAACCAGATCCAGTCCGGATGTCAGACGAGAACGTTCAGAAGATAAGGGAGCTACGGCTTTCTGATCCTGAGACCTACAGTCGCACGAAACTTGCGAAAATGTTCAAATGCACGCCCAATTTTGTGTCCAAGGTGGCTGCGTTGCCGAGACCGCAAAGGAAGCAGTTCTCGAAAAAGATGGAAACGGAGCACGAGGAGATCAGGGAAGGGTGGGGAGAGAAGAAGTCTACATATACTGCCATACGCCAGAAACGACGCGAGTTTTGGTAATTCTGGAGCGGGAATGTGGGGGAAAAAGGGTCGAGTCATGAGTCACACACTCGGTGAGATTTCCCATTCCACTGTGAAAAACCGTTGCGACCCCCAAAGCTCATAAGAAAATCCAATCACGAATGAAGATTGGCTGTCCCGTGTCGAGCGCCTGGACTCATCCGTCCCTGCCCGTCTCCAGCCCCCCAGCGCAGTGTAGTAGCAACGGGTTTAGCATAGTGGTTACCGCCTGGACGTGTACCTGTTCCAGAGATATATGTTTTTTTGATACGCCTGTTTTGTCAGAAAAGCTTTTATCCGTGTTCGCCCGTTGCATGTTTGTAGAAATCTTGTGCTCGGAAGGCCGCATCCAAAAATGGGACTGGAAAGTGTCCGAGAAGGGCAAGACTAAGAATGAAATGAAACTTCATTCACCTCGGGACAGAATAATCCCATCGACCCATTATTATTATGCAGATGCGTATTACGGCCGCCCCCAACAAATAAAAAAACCTGCATAAGTTCAGGTCTTGACGCTCCTTCCGTCTTTTTTTCGATATCCTGTACTTTCACGTGTCTCTTTCTCTCTAATGGCTTTCCGTCATCTTTCCCGTTCTTGTCTCCATTCCTCCTATAAAGCTTTGCGCCCACTTTCCCCATCTTTTATTCCCCGTTCTCTCGCTATCCACACCATGTCTGTAGCAAGATTTCCTCCGCATTTCAAGAACACAGACCATCGCCAGAGGTGTCTTGTCCAGCTTCGCTCTAAACAAGTCGCCCTCGAAAAATATATCTATCTCAATGGTCTCAAGGGTCGGGATTCTAATTTATTCTATGATATCTTACTAGACAATATGCAGGTGAGTACTCGGGTAGCATACCTCTCGTCATCCCATCCTAACGTTACTTTTTCTCTCTAGGAATTGGTACCAATATTATATACACCCACTGTACGCATTTTGTGCACGTGCCTCTTGTTACCATGACCATATCTTGCTATAATACTAGGTGGGCGACGCTTGCGTGAACTACTCCCACATCTGGCGTCGTCCCGAAGGCTTATTCGTGTCCATCGAGGACAAGGGCCACATCCGTGAAGTTTTGTCATCCTGGCCAAACATCCATGACAGTCGGATTGCCGTTGTCACTGACGGTAATCCTGCTTTGTCAATATCACCTCACACCGTGTCCCCTTATCGTGTTGTTGCTTTCTAGGCTCTCGTATCCTCGGTTTGGGTGACCTCGGAGCAAATGGTTTGCCCATTAGTGTGGGTAAACTGTAAATATTTTATCCTTTTCGTATATTTGTGTCTTGTTCTCAACGGTCGTTGCCGCCATCAGGGACCTGTACATCGCAGGCGCTGGGATCAAGCCTACGTCTACCGTACGTGCCAATCTTCGGGTCGTTTCGACCTGGATGGTTTAGTAATCATTTCTGGCTGTGATTAGGTTCCTATTTGTCTTGATCTTGGAACAAACACTCAAAAGTATCTCGATGATCCTCTCTACATCGGTGTACGGCGCCAAAGGCCTGGACCTGCTGAAGTGCGTGCTGTTCCATGTCAAACTGCACCAGTAACTCACCTTTGCATCACAGATGGACGCCTTCATGGAAGAATTCATGCAAGCTATGAAGGATGTATTTCCACATTTAGTCATACAATTCGAGGACTTCTCAACGGACAACGCTTTTAAATACCTTGACAAATACCGCAGTCAATACACGGTGTTTAATGATGATGTATGTCACCTTGGTTGTTACTTTTATGATCTTTTGGGGTTCAACATGAAACTAGATCCAAGGCACTGGTTCTGTCATCCTGGGCGGTTTTATCAACGCCGCCCGCTTGTCGTCTGCAGCCTCGAACCTTCCGTTGTCGGATCATAAAATTTTGTTCTTCGGAGCTGGTTCTGCGGGGATTGGCGTCGCGAAGCAATTGTTGTCGTTCTTTACCATGTCCGGTTTGAGCGAAGAGGAAGCTAGAAAGAGAATCTACGTGAGCCTAAATAATCCCGGACTTCTTGAACCTCTGTGCTGAGTCGAGTTCTCCTTAGACGGTCGACTCAAAAGGATTGATCACTGCGGACCGGAAGGGGCTACAGGAACACAAGAAGTGTATGTTTCATCTACTTTATTTCACATCATTCTATTGACAGACATATCCCAGTCTTTGCTCGTACCGACTACAACGGCCCTGCCCTGACGAACTTGGTCGATATCATCAAGTACGTCAAGCCGACCGCTCTTCTGGGATTGAGCACCATGCGAGTTAAGTCCAATACATAGCCAAGGTCATCGTTACATCCATACTGACCAAGTGTTTCAGAATGCATTCTCGGAAGAGGTCGTGAAGGCTATGAGTGGCTTGAACAAGCGACCGATCATCTTCCCTCTATCCAATCCTGTGGCGTTGAGCGAGCTTGACTATTCTGATGCTATACAATGGTATACTGCCTTCCGTTCTCCGCTCCGAGCTTCCAGGCTGATCCCCCTATCTTGTTCTGCACAGGTCGAACGGAGAAGTGATATTCGCTTCCGGTAGCCCATACAAACCGGTCTCTCATGGTGGAAAAGACTTTGAGCCTGGACAGGGAAACAACATGTACATCTTCCCCGGAATCGGACTCGGTACCATCCTCTCCAAAGCCCATCACGTCTCCGATGGTATGGTCGAGCAAGCGGCCAACGCCCTCGCGTCGTCTCTGAACGCGGAGGAGCAAGCCGCCCAGCTCGTCTACCCTCGACTCGGACGTATCAGAGACATCAGCGCACAAATCGCACTAGCTGTGATCAGGCAAGCGCAGAAAGAGGTACGTGTGGTTCTAGCACTGTGCTGTGCTGTGCTTGTTGGGAGAACGATCTTACTGACGATGATCGCCGTTTTTCTTTTTGTCTTTTTGTATTTCTGAACAGCATCTGGACGACAATGCGTATCTCCGCACCTTGCCTGATGCTGAGCTCTTTGGCCTGATCCAGGACAAGATGTGGCAGCCGCCGGTACTCCGAACGAAGGCTCTGGGAATGCTGTGAGCTGTGGGGGGGCATGAGAAAGGATGCTTCCCAGGGGGGTAGGAGACGCTGTTCCGTCGTCCCGTCAGACGCTCGGAATGTTCCTAAACCACGTTGACAGCGGGGGATTGTTATCGCTATTTTAGTTTGCTGTGCTGATTCATCTTCGTACTATGTATCTATCTTGGTATTCGCCGCATATCACTTCTTTTTGCACTTTGTTGGTATGACAAAAGTGGAAGAAAAAACAATCAATATAGATCTTGTCACACTGTCGGTCTTCCGCTTCTTTTCTGGGGAAATCGTGAATGACTTGTTGAACAATCTAAGCATCTATCGTGGGGTCTATTTCTAGTACATCCAATGATTCAGCACCGCCAACCGTCCCATTCCATCTGGCTATACCAAAGCGATGGTTTACGCCCTTGAGAGAAGGAAGACATGCAAGGCCCCCACACCCGCCAGTCTGTTGCATAGGGACGACGTAAAAGACCTCCTTTACTCGTGAATGCAGTAGTGCCATGCTACACATGACGCATGGTTCATGGGTAGTGAAGAGCGTGAGTCCTGTAAGAAGATAGCGTGCGCCGTTTCGTGGGACATCTGAATCGTCTGACTCGGAGTTGATAAGGGTATTAAAGGTCGTAGATTGGGAGGAGGAGGAGTCGAGGGAAGGCTCGGAAGCACGGTAATCGGCGACGCTGCGTATAATATTGAGTATGGCGTGTCGCAGAGGGTGCCTAGTCGATGTACGTGTGTCGTGTGCAGTGAACGACATCGGGAACTGGTCCTCTTCTCTGTAAGGCGAAGGCACATGAGCGACGATGGGCAGCTGGGAAGGCATGGATCAATAAAACAGGCTTCTAGCGTTCATACTTTGGAATTATGACTGACCTCACCACCTGCACGGGCCTTGGAAGCTTCTAACATGACATGCGTGATAGCACGACCTGCCCAGCGAACGGTCCCCTTTGACCACGTCTCTGGTTCCCATTTTCGGCGTGGGGTATATACGGTTGGCCATAACGTACATTTAAGTTGGAGAGATGTTGGTGTGAGTGCTGCAGTACATGGTACAGGTAATTGATAGGGAGAGGGGAGGCTTAGGTCGCTAGGAAGACACGGGGGGTTTGGTGAGGTGCTGATGAGAAGACTGGATATATTGCCTTGCTTCCGTATACGTTTGAGATGAGCCAGGGAAGGAGACTCAAGCCCGGAACGTTTCAGGCATCTTGAGATAGGGGTGAATGAGATGAAATTATGTACGAGACAAGGACATACTTGAGCATTGTGGTGATGTGCCGAGGGTCGGGTATATCAACAACCCATGACTGCACTACAGGGGTTACTCTGTCATAAGCGTTTGATGAAATGGTGAAACGTGGATAACGCACTTGTACGTATTGCACTTATCTCTTCTTCTTCTTCATCTAGCGACAACTTTAACCTTGTAAAAGGGAGGTCACCGTCTGCGACGATCATCGGTGAATCGAGGGAAATAGTGTAACACCATATATAGGTCTGATCATAAATACATTTTCCATCTTTTGCATAATAGTTATCACTATCTTTGCATCGGCAACTAAGGTCATACAAGGCCAAAACTTGATTGATAAAACACATATGTTGTTCAGTTCGCAGATATAACATTGTTAGTGGGTTGTGTTTGCTATGAAAATGATGGTTGTTGGTCTTGAAGCTTGAAGTTGGCATGTTGTATCATGCTAATAACAATGTACAGATAAGTATTCAGTGGAACAGTAGCATATAATACTTGTGAACTTGTCTTTGTTGCCATGTTGAAAGCAAATTATGAACCAAAAATCACAGAGAGTGAATGGCAAAAAGTGAATTATCAGGAGAAATCTACATCTGGATAACATATTAAATATTATTTATCATGGTAGGTAGTGTCAGCTAACATTTTCTTGAAAGTAGCACGGTCACTTAAAATTCCTGCTGGGTTTGGTCTCATACAATTTATCTTTCTTGTTGGTGTTGGATATTCGGTCCCTCAGGGCGCGGGAACAGGCGCGGGAGAAGGATTCTTTTGGCAAATGAATGCCGTAACAATGTAAATACATGCTTCTTATATAACAAACATATGTAAATATCATGTGAAAGACAATGATAGCCACAAAAGGCTGGTTGTAATCAGAGAGTAAGGCGCTGTATGGGAACGAAAAATTGAAAAATAAACTTTGCACATTTTTAGCGCCACAGGCTGCCGATATGCCACAAGGAGTGCCGTGCCGTGCTTTTTGACTCAGACCACCACCGACTCAATAAACTCATGTCCAAGAGGAAAGCCTCAGGCTCAGGCCTCAAGGCTTCTTTACGCAACTATAAACGACCTCGCTACTGGTTGAGAGTGAATAGAGAAACAGATATGGCCACCCACTCCAGCAACACACCTGACTACCAAGCTCCAAATATCATATTTGCGCCATCTGATACTAGCGATGGCCATCTTTCCACTAGCACGAAAGACAGGAGGATGTGGTCAGAGGCAGAAGAAGCTACACTGATTTCTTTTTTACATTGATCTGAGGCTGGCGATGGGCTCAATTTCCCGAAGAAGTTCTGGACGAAGGCTGCCGTAGAAGTGCAGAAGATCCACCAGGTTAGCCCTGCAAAGGAGGCCGAGCACTGCACTGGAAAATGGGGGAGGGTACGTACCATTGATTAACTGATCTATGGTATTTTCTTGACCGATTATTAGCTGAGAACCACCTACCAAACTGTCAAAGCACTGTCAGAGCAGTCGGGCTTTCATTGGGACGATATTGGCGGTGCAGGTATCACAGTGGAGAGTGAGACAGTATGGGCTGAGTATTTAAAGGTAAGTACTCACTTCATACATTGCGACACTCATCTCATCCATCTCTAGAAGAACCCTGGTGTCAAGATTTTTCGCAACAAGGGCTGGACCCATTTCTCAGCAATGGACGATCTTATGTGTGGCCGTTTTGCCAAGGGAGCAAACATTTTTTGCTCTGCCCCCCCTTCTGTACCTGTACCAAATAGCCCTCCTGTGTCTAGCAATACCCCATCATCATCTATGTTTCCTCCCCCTGTAGCTATTACCCCACAAACGCCTAGGAGCGTTAATACCAACATGCATTCCCATGATGCCAACGTTAACCTCTGGCTAGGGGGTGTACCATCTCCCAAATCAATGCCCGCTCCCTCAACTTTATCATCGACTACCTCCCGCGGGTCTTCTAGTAGCAAACAAAAGGAGCGTGACACAGAGTTGGATGCCAATGCAGATGCAGATGCCATGTCGGTTGTCACTTGCAGCAAGAGTACAGGCATAACTGTGCATAGCCGCAGCTCTAAAACCCCTTGTGTGGCTGCCAATGCAATGACCGCCACTGCTCTGACGGGGTTGAATGATACGCTGGGTCAGATCGTGCCCATCATGAAGGGACTCACGGACACAATCTGAAATGAATTTGACACCCCTTTAACAAAGCAAGGCAGTTCTTCCGCTGTCATACCATCATCCGCGCCAGGGACATCCACCATCACTCCTTCCTCTTTCATCTCCCGCTACAACTTCGACATTGCTAAACAGCCATCCCATATACAGAGGGGTATTGCCATACAAGCACTGCAAGAGCTCAATCATGAGCTTGGGATTCCCAAGCAGGTCAAACTACTGCATATATTTGAGCGTGAAATTGGGGCGGTGGATACATACTTGAATATGTTGCATGCAACAGATTTGCGTAGGGCGTGGATCAGTTCTTTCACAAAGGTCTGATTAGTAGTCATGTTATGTTTCTTGCTTTTTTGTTTGATCAATGTAACGGAATGTTTGCTCGTCCGCCACAAAACGTTAGAATCATTCATAAGAAAATCACATTACATCATCCCAATTGTCTTCTATGCAGCTCGGCCTGATAATCCTCCCACATCAAACCCGCTATCTGATCCCTCCTGGCGTTGGCTTCTGCCCGGGTTGCTTCGGTGGGGGGGCCTGAAGCTAATGTACCTGTGGCAGCGCTGGGGATGGGGTCTTCAATTAGGGCATCATCAAAGTCTACAATATCATACAGAGGGCAGGGGGTATGCGGGCCTGAATAGCCATGTCGTACTCAGGAGGGAGCACGAGAATGCAGAAACACCGTTTGAGGATGCCAAAAATCCGCTCAATGACTTTGCAAGCAGATGCATGTCGAAGGTTGAAATATTCACGTGGGTTTTAAGGCCTAGAAAATGTTAGAATAGGGTAGAAGAGGATAAGGAGGACTTACCTGCGATTGCTGCGAGCATACTCCTGCAGGTGGTAGCGTTCACCTCTATTGGGTCACTAAGAGCTGAGGACAAGAAGGGAACCCTGCATCCGCTAGGTAATACTTACCCTGCGGAATGCGAAGGTTACTCATATGAGCGTCATGGAACAAAGCGGTGTCTGCAACAGAGCCCTCCCACCCGCTAAGCATGTAACTAAATTTTAAATCAAACGTGCAACAGGCGAGGCAGTTTTGAGATACCCCGCCCTTGCGGTTTTGTGAGGCCTGGCATTCGGAGGCAGAGGGGGAACACGCAATATGTGTCCCATTGATGGCGCCAATAGCACCTTCAAAGCGACACAGCTTGGGGTTGTCAATGATATAAGGCAGTGGTGGATCATTTTCAGCGGGTAGATGGACATAGACGTTGTAGATGTCTGGGGAAGTGAATGCTAGAAGCATTTTCTTGAAATATCTGTATAATAAATAGTAAGTTAGTTGAAAGAGGGCAGGGGAAAAATATACCTAGAAATTGTATTGCTTGATCGCTGGAATTGTTCACCGATATGGCAAACTGATAAGCCAGTGACGCAGGCGTATAGAAATGTTGCAAGTTGCTCCTCAATGTGGATATGCCTTGAGTCAACGTATTGATAGCGCTTGAGTAGATCTACCAGCCTAAGGAAAACATGGCGCCTGACACCAAGTTCTGCACAAATGCGGTCAGGATGACCACTCAACAGCTCAATACCCACCCATGGCCAGTCAAAATGGAGGTGTGATATGGCTGGGGTATGGTCTTGTTTAGTTGGTCGTTGGCTACAAGTGCTGCTGATTGCGCAACCGTTTGGAGACCAATGAGAGCGAGGGACAGTTGTTGAACACATAGAAGTAGTGCTGCTCGGCGCCTACGTAACATTGATGCTTCCTCACTCTCTTCACGATCCTCCTCTCCCATGCTGTCATCATCGCTGCCCATTCCTGTATTTCTCTGTCCACGATCGTTGCCTTGATCTTCTTCCATTGTCTCTACAATGATGCCTGTATAATGGTGAGATTATTGTTCTATCTTACTATACGCGGGTACTAAAAGTTTTCTTTCTCCGCCTCAATGGCCCTCGTGATGCCACTTTCCCAAGTCCAAAAATCAAGAAAAATATTGCATTTTTTCGTACCCGTACGGGGCCTAAAGCTTCGGGCGAAGCTCCAAAGTTCGCTTATGTAATATAATTTCTACAGTTGGTCATTACAATCTTGCGTATAAATTGTGGTATTAGGCAATATGTGGGAAAATCTAATCCAACTGCAAAACATCAATGTGTCGGCTGAAACTGCCAACAAAAGTAAGTAAACTTTGAGATTAAATCACATCATGATGTTCTTGGTTTCTGATCACAAAGGCATGTTTAGATAGCGAGTACAGGACCAGAAACAGTATTGAGAGAGCCGTGCCAATAAGTCTGGATGGCACAAGTGCTACAACAAATACAGTCAGTCACTGTAATCCTGGAGCCATCAGTCACTTTTAGAGCAGCTTTAGTCTTTCATAAAGTACTGTGACGTGCCCAGAAAATGGCATGTCTTCAATTTAAAATAATACAATACAGCAAGTCCACACATTTTGTGCATGTGGTCTATGATACAGTTTCATGATTTGTGGTGAGTTCACTCATATAAATCATCTTGCCTTCACTCAAGCCCTGCAACTTTGACGTATTATCATCATCAGGGATGATTCATGTTAGCGGTTGGGCCTGGCTTCCAAACCAGCATACAGGTACACATCCTTGCATGCTGCACCAAATACTTAAATGAAGTATCTCACAGAAAAAGACATATATATACTCAGATAGCCATGTAATTTGTACGCATAAATAGCCACTATTAGCTGAAGAACAATTTTTGCAGATCATATGTATCATTTAAATAAAAAACTAGCTTATTATCATATGCAATTTATCCTTCAATGGAAGGAGTAGCAACAGTAGTATATTCAAATGTGATTAATGGCCAACCGCACACATAATCACCTTGTTGTAAGGACCATTCATTTTCTTATCTTCTCACTCTATGTCTTGGTTCTCGAACACTTTTCCTGTTACACCTCTAGCCTTAGGGCTGGAGGTATCCTTTGCTGTTTTGCTTCTTATAGCCCTCACAGGCTTTCTTAATCATCGTTATCACTTTGTATTGCAGATCAGAGACTGGGTATTGCTCCCAGCCAGCCAGCACAATGGGTAAGGACTGGTGGTAAGGATCTCGCCAACCAGCTCCAAGCCCCATCAGTGCCTGGAGATACTAATAGACGCTTTAGTCAGGATTGTACCTCATCATGAGGATACGGTTCCTGGACATGCGTAACAACACTTATTATTGATACACTTTCTCACCTGCTGATTAATCTTCAAAGTCGTATGATAGTTGTCCTGTTTCTTATTGGTTGATTTTCCCCTCAGACCACTTTCCTTTTATTCCTCTTTTGGTCTGAGGGATAGACAATTAGCTATATAAAGCCTTACCTATTCATGTATAGTTCCTTAGCTTTCTATTACTTGAATTATCCGCTTTACCTCTCATCAGAAACCTCTGAGTCTACTCCCCATATTCTCTACTTGCTATATTCACTAGCATCTATCGATCTCAGACTCATCGTACCTCTTACTCCCTGCAAGTGCAGTCGGAGACAGGTGTTGTTTTTGTTATAGTCTATTGTTGCCTCACACTTGTCCTTTACAAATTTCCCGGCATCACTTTTAACAATGATGGTTGCTGTCATGCACCAAAGTTGATTGGTAGCATGGACAGGTGTCAATAACAAAGCGAATATTCAAAAAGACTCGCCTTTGCGCCACACAGGCACAGTGCCACGTGGAATAGTAATTAATATTGCCTGTTTCGAACTTGTGGCTGATCAGCACCACCTCTATTAGGCAATCCAGTCACGCTCACCTTTGCTTTTCCATTTGGTACTTTCTGCGTTTCGGCATTTCAGCAAATTTTTGCGTCGCCACTGGCTACACATTGCATTGTGCCCTCACTTTTGTTGTTTCCTTCACTCCCCTTCCTTTGCCTAGCCCCACCATGGGCCCCTTACTCTCGTTTTTATTCTCACCCAATGGTCGTTTCTGGATCCCCATTTTGGTTCACCTCCTCGTCACCTCCAGCCTCCTCCTCCTCGTCTTCTTTGCTCCCCCACCATTTCTGATGTCACCACTTCCTATCCGCTTCCGTCGCTGATCCGTTGACTACCACGTGCCACTGCTGATATCAGCAAAGCCCCAGCGGCCAGTTCAAATAGGGCAACAGGTCCATCTTTATGATGTCGATCTACCATCATATACTATCAAAACATTGGTCGCTCGTCTTGCCTGGTTGGAGCGTGGGTGGGTAGTTTTTGAGCTGGAGAAGGTTCATCCCCTTGCGTCGCCCATGTTCATTGCTGTCCCATTCACTTGGGTACACTTATCTTTTGTCCATCGTCTTCGCTACAGCTACACCTACCACACGCTGCCTGGGACTCACTTGTTCCAAATTGGAACTACTCCTCTCCCTCCCTCGTTTGATCAGGTGGTCCAACACAACCAGTCCATTGGTAAGGCCATGGAACTGTCGGATTTGGACTAGGTGGTGGACCGGTGGCTCCAGTTTCTTTTTCTTCAGCAGAACATTCATTTACAGTGCGATTATTTTTGATTTTTGAATCATTTTTATGGACACATATTTTTTTAGAATGCCTGACTGACAATAAAGGAACTGTGTTGATACTGATAGTGTTTTGCCTTGCCCTTTTTTTACTGCATCTTCCAATGACATCATGATTTTCCTGCTCTCTTTTTGCTATTGGACTTTACTTTATGGCTGTACAAACCTTTGACATTACTCACAGCATTTATTGTTCTATCCCTTTCTTTTCCTTTTTTGATAATCTTATCCTGTACTACCTATGCAGGATTTGTCAGCATACATTCCTTCCTTCATGTTCTTTCTCATTCTTTTTGCACAGCTATACTGTGCATAGCCTACTTTTCTTTTACTATATAAACCCCTGTATTTTACCTTGTAAAAAAAAAAAAAGAAAAAAAAAAAAAAGAACAAGAACTCCAATCCAGACTTCTTCTCTACTCTCAAGTTCACTACTCTGCTACTTGTGATCCAGTGTGGTCACAACACTTCCCACTTCTACCACTGTTAACTGCTGTCATTGTCACTCGTCACTTTTTGAAAGTGATTGTCATCCCCTTCAATTAAAGTCCTTCTGAGCACTACAGTTTGTGCATCAGGAGCCTGCTATTACTGGGAACCTTGTCACCTTGTCATCCTCGTTGTTCTCAAACCTACCTTGTGCTACCATTAGCAAGGTAGTGCTCATCTATACTCGTCACTAAGCCCCTATCTTCTATCAATTCAACTATCCCACCTCCTCAAAACCCACACTCATACATCTCTGGGTTTTACTTTGAAGGATCTTTATACTTACCACCCCACGAACAACCAGACCACTCCACTGTTCTAGGAGGCAAAGCCCATAAACAAGTTCCATGGAATCTGGGAGGATTGTGTGTTAGTTTGTTTTTGTGTGTGGTTTTCCAACAGCAGTTCTCATCATCAACAACGGATGGGGCAACATTTGAGTGTCACACTTTCAAAATGCATTCAAGGACTAAGGTCTTACTGTAAGAAACACATCTTCTCAGTGACATCTTCTCACCCTTATTCTCTCATAGCCAAAAATGTTTAACGCCGTGTATGATGCCCGGTGTTACAATCTCTATTGGACATTTAAGGACTACTCATTTCTCTTTACTCATTGGTTATACCATTGGACTGATGACTCATTTCCTTCACGTACACTTCCGTTCCTCTCGCATTCACAGTACCTATTATAGTACTTAGTCCTCAACAGACGGACCTGCCCTAGATAGGACCTAACTCCTATCACCGATTCCTTTCCATTATAAATACCATGTAACAGCAGTAGTATTCTCTAATACAATTCTACGCAGTTTACGCTTACAAAGCTAGACTCCTAAGATCAGACTTCTACTCAGAAGAAGACCAACTCTCGTTGGAAAACCTCCACTCAGAACCATGTTCTCGAACTTGTCTTCGGATAAGTCTCTTTACAAACCTCGACGAACCCTCAGACTTTGTTAAGCACTTCATGCGTAACACCCGGTCTGTCTTTAAGTCAAAATCCCTGATAGACACTTATCCAGCCTCCAACATAAAAGCGGGAGATGTCGTGCTCATCAAAGTGTTCTTAAAAAGGTTCAGGACAAGTCCCTCAAACCTCAACCCCGACAAAACCAATGAATAGTCGAGTTGGAAAACTGTTACGCACAAAGTGCTTAACAAAGTCTGAGGGTTCGTCGAGTTTGTTCAAAGAGACTTATCCGAAGACAAGTTCGAGGATGTAATTCTGAGTAGAGGGATTCCAACGGTTGTTGGTCTTCTTCCGTATGGAAGTCTGATCTTAGAAGTCTAGCTTTGTAAGCGTGAACTGCGTAGAATCGTATTGGAGAATACTACTACTGTTACAAGCGTATTTATAGAGAAGTAAGTCGGCGATAGGAGTTACGTCCTATCTAGGGTAGGTCTGTCCGTTGAGGACTGAGTACTATACAAGGTAATAGAAGTGCGAGAGGAGCGGAAGTGTATGTGAGGGACGTGAGTCATTGGTCCGATGGTATAACCGATGAGTAAAGAGAAATGAGTAGTCCGTAATAGAGGTAGACAAATCGTAACATTACCCCCTTACTTGCTTCGAATTTCACCGAAATTCGGTACCCTCGCCATCCATGTTGTAGCTGTCGTTGTAGCTGACATCTCCATGTAATCCCTCCATCAGAATCCTATCTTCGTTTTCCCTATGAATAGGGCACCAATTGAAACTATGCCCTGGTGCGCGTCTATCGCAGTCGGGGCAGTAGTAAGCTTCGCAGTAATATGTACGGTGATCACTCCAACCGCAGTTTTGACAGTAAGGAGCGTTGTCGCGAACACCTTGGTGGTACTTTTGTCTGGTATTGGACGAGGTGTCGGATTTGGGAGTGGGGGGATCGTCATCTCCCAGGTTGTACGTTCCCGCGTACAATTGGTCGATCATGTCGGCGTCATCTATGTTGATTGGATTGGAAGGGGAGCCGGTCTCAGGCCTGCGCGTTACGCCAGGCGGACTGTCTTTCGGACTCTTCGACGTACGAGATTGCCGATTCGATGGAGTTCTGACGGCGGGGATCTGGAGTATCACTTCTTGTCGGCCTAGTCGGGCTCCTCGTCGTTTCGTCAGGCGACGGGTTTGGGCGTTTGGTACTGGTCGAGGCGGAGGAGACTGCGGTGGTAGTGGTTCTGGGTTCAACCCAGTGGAACGGGGACTGGAGGGGTTCGACCCTTGTGAGGTCGGGCTGGTTGGGACGGTGGGAATGTATTTTTCCGCTAACTGGGTGGGCGGAGGTTGTGGAGTGGCGGTGGGGTAGGTGAGCTCCGGGGTAACACTGATCTGATCTGGGTATAATGGGGACCGGCGGGACAAACCGGGTGGAGGAGTACTCGTATAGCCGTCTCGCTCTATCCGCGTGCGCGCCTCGGTTAGCAAGATCTTCCCGCCTAATTCCAAATATGCCTTTGCCGCGTCCGTCTGCCCACTCAAGGAGTTCATCCTCAAGCGTCGTTCCAAAGATTCCAAAACTAACTTTTCCATCCGGAGTGCCCGACAGATACTCGAGTCCTGATTGTTGTGCCGTGAATGCTCGTTTTCCAACGAATGTAGTGAGTCTATGGCTTTCAGGAGTTCGTCAGCCACGAGGTCTATGTTAAGGAAGGTGTATAGGGAAGAAAGAGCGTGGTACGCATCGGGATAGCGTTTTTCTGTTTCACGAAATAGATAGACGTGGGCATTTTTGGCTGACATTAATTCTATGGCGTCAGAGACGTCAGCCTGGTTGTGTCGTTGCCCTCGGGCAAAGGACACTCGTTCGTCGGCTAGCATGTTGGCTTTGCCGGGTACAGAGTAGGTGGTGATGGGGAAGCCGGTAGAGTGAGAAGTAGACATGTTGTGTGTTTTGAGAGACAGAGGATTGGTGGTGGTGGGGGTGGTTGTCTCTTCAACGCAGTTTGTGGTCTCTCTTATAGGCTTCCAGTATCTCCGCAGCATTGGTCAGGTGTTCTTCTGGTTCCCATGAGTTTTCGGAATGAGGGTAATGGTGCCATTTGATCAGGTAACGGCGTCCGCGTTTCCAGGGTTTGTGTCTAAGAATACTTTCTACTTCATATTCTTCTGCTTCGTTGATAAGGTCAGGTGGTGGTCGGATAAAGTTCAGTCCGTGAGTGTCGGTTTTGGTATACGGGGTTAGGAGGGATGCGTGGAAAACATTGTGTATCCTCCAATGGGGAGGTAACGATAGTCGGTAGTTTACCGGAGAGATCTTTTCTTGGATGCGGAAAGGTCCGATGCGTTTCATGTTGAACTTCTTGTATTCGGTGGCTTTTTCCCGCAGGTTGGTGTTTTCTAACCACACCTTTTGTCCTTCTGAGAATTTGGTGAACTTTCCGTTCGTTCATTTCATCATCCTGCTTCTCGCTAGTTCGTGTGCTTTTAGAGCGTTCTCTCTTGCCCTAAGCAGTTCGGATAATCGTTTTTCTACTGACGGGATGTTTGTGGATCGGTGTTTAGTCGGGATTCCTCGGGGTTCGTATCCCATGAGGAGGTAGAATGGCGATTGGTTATTCGTGGAGTGTGGCCGTTGGTTGTGGCAGAATTCGGCCGTCGTAAGGTACTTTGCCCAACTGTGTGGTTGATTCTGGCAAAAGATGCGGAGGTAGATCTCTAGTTCTTGATTGGATCGTTCTGTTTGTCCGTCAGTCTGTGGATGGTATGCCGTGGAGAGTGCGGTTTCGATGTTTAGGAGTTTGTGGAGTTCTTTTGATACTTCAGAGGCGAATTGTGGGCCTCTGTTGGATATGATTTTGTCGTGTAGTCCAAACCGTTTTGAAGACAGAGTCATGGAAGATTCGTGCAGTTTCGAGTGCGTCGATGGTTTTGTGGCAAGGTGAGAGGATTACCCCTTTACTAAGTCCTTGGTCTACCACGACCATTATACTATCATACCCTATAGACTCGGGTAAGTCTGTAATGAAATCCACCGAGAGATACTTCATCGGTTCACTGGTCTTCGGTGTTTGATTCGGGATCAACGGTACCGTGGTCGGATGCGTGTTTACTTTGGCTTGTTGGCAAGTTGCGCATCCTTTCACGTATTCCTCTACCTGTTTCATCATTCCTGGCCACCAATAGGACTTTTTTATTAGTTGATAGGTTTTTAGTCTTCCTGGGTGTCCTGCGGTTAGCGAGTCGTGGTGATTTTTGATGATCGTTCTCTGTTCTTCTGCAGTGTCGATCAGTAGTTTGTTCTGATAGAAGAATTGTCCTTCTGCTTTGTGCCAATCTTCCTTTTTCGTTCTTCCAGGGTAGTTGTCGTTGGTGAGCATTGCTTGCTCTATTGTGTCTTTTATTGTTCTCGTGTGATACAGAAACGCCAATGCTGGTATCATTGGGGTGTCGTCGTCGTCGTCCGTGTTATCGATGTACAAGTCGGGTCGTCTCGAGAGTGCGTCAGGTACCACCATGTGGGTTCCAGGTACGTGCTCTAATGTGTAATTGTATTGTGACAGTTCCAGCTGCCACCTTCGTTGTCGTGGTGTGAGTTTCCTGGCCTCCTGCCAGTACGTCAGGTTCTTGTGATCCGTTAGAATTTGGATTGTGTGTGGGCTTCCTAAAAGCAGGTGTTTCCACTCTTTCAGAGCTCTCATTACCGCTAAAAGTTCCTTGTCGTAGATCTGGTAGTTTTTCTCTGCGGGGGATAGGGTTTTCGAGAAAAATGCGCAAAGGTGCCATTGTCCTTGATCGTCTGGTTGCATTAATACAGCTCCAGTGGCGTGTTTGCTCGCGTCCGCTGCTATCTTCGACGGTTTCGAGGAATCAGGGATTTGGGTTACAGGGGATTCGAGGAATCTTTGTTTCAATAGTTTGAAAGCGTCATCTTCGATTTTCGTCCAGTTCCACTTTTTGTCTTTTTCTAGCAAGGCGTTTAGGGGTCAGGCCAGGTCAGAGTAATGGCCTATAAACTTCCTGTAGAAGTTTCCGTAACCTAAGAACTTCTGTACGCCTTTGGTGTCTTTCGGGGTTGGCCAATCGCTTATTCCTGCGAGTTTGGCTGGGTCCATGGATACCTGGTTGTGGGAAACAATCATTCCCAAGTACTCGATGGTCTTCGCCTCAAAGGTACATTTTTCAAGTTTCAGGAATAGGTCGTTTTCTCGTAGCCTTTGTAGAACCTGTTTTGTCCGGATGCGTAGTCTTTCAACATTGGTGTCAAAGATGAGGATGTCGTCCATGTATATGATCATCCAGCCTTCATCAATATAGTCTTTGAATTTGTCGTTCATCAGCCTTTGGAATGTTGCCGGGGAATTGCACATGCCGAAAAACATGACCATTGGTTCGAATACTCCCTTGCTGGTTTTGAAGGCAGCTTTCCATTCGTCTCCTTCTTTTATCCTTACGTTGTTGTATCCCCAACGTAGATCCAGTTTAGTAAAGACGGTGGCTCCTTTCAATCTTTCGATGAGGTCGGGTATCAGGGGTAGTGGATATGGGTCTTTTACGGTATATGCGTTTAGTTTTCTGTAATCTTGGCATGGTCGGAGTGATCCGTCCTTCTTGCCAATGAAGAAGAAGGGGGACACCTGTGGCGACTTGCTTGGCCTGATGTATCCCTTTCTGTAGTTGTCCGTCAAGAATTCCGTTAACGCTTCATCTTCCTTTGGTGCCAGTGGGTACAGTTTGCAATCCGTTGGTACAAATTCCGGTTTCATGTTGATTACATGATCATATTCCCGTCGCTTGGGGAGTCTTTCCGATTTCTTCTTGTCAAAGACGTCTGAATAGCCCTTATATTCATCTGGGAGGATATGTTCTTCTTTTCTTTCTCCGTGTATTTGTGCGTGTTCCATTGCCGAGTTGACTTTTAACCGAATTGTGGTTCGAGGATAGGGTGTGTGGTCGGATACATATCTGTGAATGGTTTCGTATTCGTCCTCGTCTACTGTGGTTGTCCTGATTTTTGTTTCCATGGTAGTTTGGTTTGTCCTGATTGAGTGTTTGTCTGAGTACGGTAATTCTTTGTCTTTCCAGTTAATGACCGGGTTGACTTTTCGTAACCAGGGGAAGCCTAGCAATACGTCTTCTCCGTCCAGTCCGGTTAATAGAAACTTCGTAAACCTGTTTTGTCCTCCTGCGTCTATTCTCTGATAGGTGCAATGCGTAATTTTTCCGTTTTTGTTCGTGGTTCCGTCAACGTTTTTACACGTTATAGGGGTCGGGAGTTTTTGGAGGGGGAGTCAGTTTTTAATGGCAAATTTTGTGTCCATGAAGTCGTCCGTAGCTCCTGAATCTATCAGGGCTTTGGTTCCGATGGTTTTCTGTTTTAACGAGCAATCAATTCGTAAAGAGTTGGCATTGATCGTTGCTATTGTTACAGTTGCCATTTTCAACGGTACTAACATCAGGGTAGTCCGTCATTTCAAAAACCCTCGTCTTCTAATTCTTTCATCGCCTCAGCTTTTTGGTCTTCTCCCAACTCCCTCCACATCCTCATGATGTTTTGGACCCTGTCTTCTTCTACCACTGTCTTGACGTCATCTTCAGTTTCGGTTTGACGTACCTTTCTTTCGGGAGTTTTTCCTTTGTTCCTACAATTCCTCCCGATGTGTCCTTTTTCGTTGCATATGAAGCACCTTCCTTCCTTCCTCCTGGTTTCTTCTTCGTCTTTGGTCAGCCTTTTCACGCTGGTGGATGGTCCACTTTTGCGATTTTTGTTGTACTGTCTTTCTTTGTTTCTGGCCCCCCACGTTCCTTCCGAGATGGTGTTGGCACTGATCCAGTTGGCATCTAGGTTGGCCACCGTGTTCATCCAGTCTTCAATGGTGACCAGTTCCTTTCCGGTGAGTGCTCCGCGGAGGAGGGGGGGTCGGATTGCCTTTTGATAAACCATGATCATGGCTTCGTTGTTGATGCCGCTTTTCCCGGCATCTAGCATAAACCTCGAGTTGAATGCCACTGCATTTTCTCCTGGTTCCATCCTCATTTTCATCAAGGCGGCCAAAGCCGTTCCTTTGACATTTGCTGTTCTGAAACTGGCTGTGAACGTTTTCATAAAATCTGCCCATGTGGGGGTAGGCGTTCTTGTCTTTGTATTTGGTCATCTTGGCTTCACTCCATGAGGCGGCGGTTCCGTCCTTCATGTAGCTGAGAGCTACGTACACCTTTTTCTTGTCAGAGGTATAAATGGTGTCGTTGATGTCAAAGTGTAAGTCAGTGGATGATATCCATCTTTGGGCCTTGTCTGGGGTCCCATCAAAGTCGTCGCTTTCCCAATCATAGTGGGTTGGGTGTCGTAGCGTTTG